AACCGTCAAAGAGGTCAGAGTAGAGATTGCGCATAACTTCAGTTTACCCTGCCAAGCTTTACACCTTGTCTAATAAATGTCTTATTCTCTTGAAGACTCTGAGCTAAAGAATAGAGTCACGTATTTTCTGAGAAATTATTAAATAAGAACTGGTACTTTGACAACCAAAGATTCCTTCTTAACTGTGTGAATTGAGTCCTCTCTACTCTGCCTTGAAGTGAACTGGCTTTTCTTCTGAGGCTAGTAGTCAGTATTTCCCTCCTCTTTTTTCCCCCTCCTAATCCCATTAGGAAAAAAAAAACCCAAACTTATTCTGTCTTGACATGGACAAATACAAAGTGGGCTCTCTCTGAAGTATTTGGATCTACTTTCACATTAAAAGAGAAATCTTACATTGAAATGAAATCTAAGGGCCCGCAAACTCAACAAACAGCAGCTGGGGATTTTAGTTCAACCTGTACAAAGGTGCAGTTCCTCAGCTTTCAGTAAAGAACATTTGAGTTTTGAATTTGTGACTTTGAGGTTTTTAATGGTTTAGAAAAATAGTATTTTAATTTTTGCTGGATATTATTTTCTTAATCTACTGTTTTACTGTGTTTTATTTTGATTTCTCATTTGAGTGCAGTTACTGAGAAAGTTTGTGCAGCAGAGCTATAGACTAAGCGGTTTTTGCTATTAGTGGATGTGTAGCAGTTTCTGTCTTTAAACAGTAAAACATGTTGCAGAGGAATATAACTTCGAAGACGACATCTGTATTAGGATCTTTTGATGGAATTTGTCTAAAAGTAACTCTCTAATTTGAAATTCAGAATATTGAATGCCTACCTCATGGTGAAACACGGAATTAGAGCTTAATTTGGTTTCATCTATGAAATTAAGTTACAGTACATTTATGGGCAGAATGTTCATATGACTCACCCCTTGTTATGTGACCTTTCATTCCAAGTCCAGAGGGTGTTTACCTTCAGGTCCACTCAGTTTCTTGTCTCGTCAGTACAGAAAGGAAATTTATTTTCATCTTAAGAGCAGCTAAAGGTTACAAATTTCTGTGGAAATACTCCGTAATGACTGCAGTGTTTAAGCATCAGTGAGAAAGATTATGGGAAGAGAAGGAAAGAAAAACACAAAGCAGAATAATTAAGCATCTGATTAGGAGCAGAGGGAGAGGAGAGAAGACAGAGCAACTACAAATACAGGAATTGATATTAAACAGATTGTGGAAGAATAATTAAATAAAAGGAAGATGAGACAAAACAAATAATGTTAGAAAGTAAATGCATTAACTGACACATAGTAGAATTTTTTGTTTTTCTGCAAACTGTCATGATACATGTGCATGGGTGACCAGTGGGTGTTTTTCAGTGTTGCTGTGCATATGGCTCCCGTCACTGTTGCTTGTCTTGTGAGGTTTTGTTTTCAAGCTAGCCAAACTAAGCAACAGAGAGTGTACTTTGCTTTTTTGATTTTAGCAAATAGATAGGAGTTTTTTATAGTCAGAAATATTAATTATTTCAAGGTTTTGCGTTTAGGGATGATGCAAAAACAAGAATGGAGTGATGTTGGTCATGTTCAGCTTTCATGTTAATGGGAAATGGGAAAATAAGAGAAACTTGATAAACAGTGTTTTCAGAGATAATTTCATGTGACATTACATTTTGAGACAATAAGCGGTTTTGATTTATGAGCCTTTTTCTGATACATTATTATTTGTTACTTAGGCAAGCCCTGAGGAGAATCAAGAAGGAAATTTTGGTTCAGAGCACTCTGCCTCACCATCACAAGGGAGTAGTCAGCAGCAGTTTTTAGAAGTGGAAACAAATGTAGATGATTCAATGGATATTCAACAGCAGGTAAAACCTATTAAAATAGGTTACAGAAATTTGGTTACAGAAGTTGAAAGGAAAACCCATACTAAAATGATTTCAAAATGAGTAATATGGATATATGATTTAATATAATCGTACATATTGTGAGTACATTTGTTAAATGTTGCTGAACGTTTGTTATGTCTGACTTCAGGACATGGATATTGATGAAGGACAGGATGTTGCTGAAGAAGAAACTTTTGAACAGGAAGAAAAGAAATCAGCTGTTCGTTCAAGATCAAGAACTCGTTCAAGATCTCGTTCAAGGTTTCATAATTAACTTGTATTAAGTAAATGAAGGTTTCCTGAAACAAAGTTGAATTTGTGATTTGTGTTCTCAGTTCTGTGTTTTTCAAAATCATCATGAGCAGTTTTCGACAATGAAGAAAAAGCATTCATTTAATACTTGTGTGTTAAATGCAAGTTTTCTGTATGACAGTTCATTTTGCCTATCTGTGGTTTACTTCAAACTTTTAAGACCTGTTCAGGTAACAAAAACAACTAATGCTAGCAGCAGGTCAGGTTTTCTATGCTAGAAGAACAGATAGTCTTGGAATTCTTTGAATGTGTTTTGTTTTGTTTTAAGCTCAAGCTATATATTCTGTTCCTCACGCTAATGGCATTAAGTTTATTTCCTGAAATACTTTGAGTGAATATAACAGAAATGTCTGTATCATCCTTAGAGTTTGTAGTTAGAAGATGGCTAAATAAGATTTATTTTTTTTTTTAACACAGCATACTGAAATTAAGTATTTTGTAGGTCACCAAGAAAACGAAGGTCTCGATCACGGTCTGGTTCTCGTAAACGTAAACACAGAAAACGTTCACGCTCAAGATCAAGAGAAAGAAAGAGGAAGTCATCTCGGTCATATTCCAGTGAAAGAAGGGCTAGAGAAAGGGAAAAAGAACGTCAGAAAAAGGGATTGCCTCCTATACGTTCAAAAACACTAAGTGGTAAGTGGCAGCTGCTTATTGTTGTAATAATGTACTATTAAAGGGAAAAAAGACTTTGTTTTTCATTGAAAGAACAACATTTAGCTTGAGTTTGGTTACAAAATACAGTAACCATAATCTTTTTTATGAATTTCATTTCTGACGTTTCTTACTAACTTAGGTGTACACCATTTCTTCTTAGAGGAAAGTCAGTATCATACTGTGCTACTGATGATTTTTCTCATACCATTGCACCAGTGCTTTTACTTCTGGGCAGAGAGTGTCAAGGGCTGTCCCTAAGTTACAATCTGCTTCCTCTTTAATGCTGTCTTCTGTGGAGCATTTGAAGATGATGAGTGCTTGATCTGAAAATTGGTACGCTGATAAGATGTTTAAGCATGTGGTACAAACTTTGGACACTTTCCTGAATACCTTAAATAGAAGCCAGTTAAACTTGTGTAGTACTTGATAAATAGCTTTTCACAGGAACATTATGCCAAAGCAGGTGGAAATGTGAAGCAAGTCATTTGCTGTCATCAGGCAGAGCATAATGGTCGTATCCGCTACTGTATCAGTATATCCCACTGCTGCTGTTGGCAGGAATCTGGATTCTTGGGATGCATAATTGTACTTAATTTTTTTAATGAACTTGTGTTCCTGAATTTAACAGTTTCTGCTGTAGTTTTGCATCTGTTTTGTGTTTTAAAACTGTCACTTCTCTGACAAATTAAGCAGTTCAGAATTCATTTTTGCAAAGGAAAGAGGGCTCTGTTCTCTTCACATTAATATTTTGCATCATTCAAATGTGGTTTAAACTCAGGATTACACTACAGTTTAGATGTTTGGTTGTTTTTTTTTTCCTTTAGCTTTTCACATAAAAAGAGGCAAATCAGTTTTATGGTGTAGATTTCTCCCAGTAGCGCACAAAGAAGGGAGCTGTAATCGGAATGGAACTGGGAGGCAGGGATGTCAGTTAAGTAGTCTGTTGAACAGCAGCAGCAGCAATTGAGGTCCTGTGAAGTGACCCAGCTCACAGAAATGAGGTATTAAGAAAGCTAAGTGAATTGTGGAACCTTGGGGGAGTAGACAAATAAATAGATAATTCACTGGATAAACTTTTTACTTCATGGAATTGTTTTCAGTGACGATCACTGGTACCGCTTTTTGAGGTCTGAAGAATTGTTAGGTAGAGCTTAACACCGTGAGAAACAAAAGGGCCATATACAAGCATGTGAGGAACAATTTTGTCCAAGGGAAATCTTAAAGCTTGTCATTCTGAGTACTGCTGCAAATTGAAAGTGTCAGTTGACAGAGGAACACACAACACTGGATTCCAGTTCAGTGCACCAAGATTGGTAAAAGGAAGAATGTGTAATGTATCAAGATGATGATAAAGAATGTTTCCTTGGTTCAGAATCGTAGACTCGTTTAGGTTGGAAAAGACCTTTAAGATCATCAAGTCAACCATTAACCTAGCACCGCCAGGTTCACCGCTAATCCATGTCCCTAAGCACCACATCTACATATCTTTTAAATACCTTCAGGGTGGTGACTCAACCACTTTCCAGGGAAGCCTGTTCCAATCCTTGACAGCCCTCTTAGTGAGAACTTTTTTTTTCTAATCTCCAGTCTAAACCTCGGCTGGTGTAACTTGAGGCCATTTTCTTCTCTCCTGTCACTTATACTTGGGAAAAGAAATGGACCTCCACCTCGCTACAACCTCCTTTGAGGTAGCTATAGAGCAATAAGGTCTCCTCACAGCCTCCTTTTCTCCAGGCTGAAAAACCCCAGTTCCCTCAGCTGATCCTCTTGAGACTTGTCCTCCAGACCTTCACCAGCTTCCTTGCCTGTCTCTGGACTCACTCCAGCACCTCAGTGTCTTCACTGTAGGGAGGGGCCCAAAAGTGAACACAAGATTCGAGGTGTGGCCTTACCAGTGCCAAATACAAGAGCGTGATCACTCCCTTGGTCCTGCTGACCACACTATTCCTGATCCAGGCCAAGATGCCATTGGCCTTCTTGGCCACCTGGGCACACAGACAGGCGGCTGTCAGCCAGCACCCCCAGGGCCTTTTCCACCAGGCAGCTTTCCAGCCACTCTGCCCCAAGCCTGTAACGCTGCCCAGGGTTGTTGTGACCCAAGGGCAGGACTTGACACTTGGCTTTGTTGAACCCAGTGCAGTTGGCCTTAGCCCAGTGATCCAGCCTGTGCAGATCCCTCTGAAGAGCATTTCTGCAGATTAACACTCCCACCCAACTTGGTCTCATCTGTAAACTTACTGAGGGTGCACTCGATCCCCTCAAACAGATCATTATTAAGGATATTAAACTGAACTGGCCCCAACACTGAGCCCTGGGGGAACACCACTCGTGACCAGCCCCCAGCTGGATTTAACTCCATTCACCACCACTCTCTGGGCCTGTCCATCCAGCCAGTTTTTTTATCCAGTGAAAGGTTGTGCTCATCTAAACTATGAGAAGCCAATAGGGAAGGCCAAAGAGATGTAGATTGTCTAATTTATTTGGACTTAGATCCTTTACAATACTGGGTGGATTACTCGGGGTAGTAAGATATTTGAGGAAAACCCCCAGCACTGACTTGATCTCTTGCTGATTTAGATCCGCCTGTGCTAAGTGGAAATAACTGCCATGAGTTTGTCAAGGCTTGCACACCTAGATTGGGTAATGTTTGGGAAATAAAAGAATTTGAACTACGTAGGTATGGGAGAAGGAAATTTTTATCTCGTGTCTGTGAATGTTTATGTTTGAGGAGGAGAGTGAGGATAGGCATTTGGGAGAAAAATGGCAGGAATCTGGGCTTGTGGTGGAATCGCCAAGAGTCAGAAGTATCACAGACATCTTCAGCTCAGTGGTGGGCCTCAGCCAAGTTTGTCTTAATCCCCAACTAAAGTAGAAGTATCTTTTACATTTCTTTCAGATGAGAATGCAGTGCATAATACTGCACTTAAGTTCCTTCTGTAATACACTTCTAGCCAGTTGGAACTTAGTTTTATTTTGTTTAAACTGACTTCACATCCTAGAGCCATGTTTTCTATGGAACATGAAATAGAAATTATTTTTTTTTCCTGAAGTAATTTCTTCTGCAGTTTACCTTAGCTAATGAACTACAGAATTTTATTTTTTCTTTTTTCTATCTATCTATCTATCTGTCTATCTATCTATCTATCTTTTTTATTTTCTTTTAAAACAATTCTTTTGTTTAAAAGTAAATGAAACGAGGAATGAGTACTTGTACTCAATACCTATTTGGGGTCTTTTAACGCTTAACTATTTTTGTTAATGTACTTAATCTCTATATAGCAAGTAATAGATTTACTGTTCTTGCTTTTTGGTTAATGATTTATGTGTAATTATAAAGCCTTTAATTTCCATGCTGTACAGTATTTTATTAAGCTAACATTCTAGTATTTTGGTTGACATGAATGTGTCTCTTGACAGTTTGCAGTACTACTCTTTGGGTGGGTCAAGTAGACAAGAAGGCAACACAGCAAGATTTAACTAACTTGTTTGAAGAATTTGGACAAATAGAGTCAATTAATGTAAGTAAGCATGTTTTGCATTTTCAGGGACTGCAGACTAGCAGCTTTATGCTCATGTCTCCCAAGTTCCTTTTAGTGGCTTAAGCTTGTACTTAGGAGACTTTCTGTCTATGTTTACAAATCATGACTATGTTATTTGCTTATTGATTTTCATGTACTGTCTTCTGAAGCCCTAAAGCCAGTACACTTTGTGGTAAAATTACTTTTCCCAAGCACTAATATTAATGTACACAGTTTTTTAAACCAGAGTCTTAACAAATAAGAATCACAGAATCACAGAATGTCAGGGCTTGGAAGGGACCTCAAAAGATCATCTAGTCCAGCCCCCCTGCCAGAGCAGGATCACCTACAGTAGGTCACACAGGAACGTGTCCAGGCGGGTTTTGAATGTCTCCAGAGAAGGAGACTCCACAACCTCCCTGGGCAGCCTGTGCCAGTGCTCTGTCACCCTCACAGGGAAAAAGTTTCTCCTCATGTTTAGATGGAACTTCCTGTGTTCAAGTTTGTGCCTGTTATGTGTTTACTCTTTTTGTCATGTGACACAGGTTAGGTATTGTTTTTCTTTGGATTAATGCACACAGATTGAGATGTATCCACATTGTTCTTGGTTACGTTCCATATAGGGGGGTCCTTAAGTATGGATAAAACATTTAGAATAAAAGAAATTTTACTGTGAACAAGTGCTTATTCCAAAATTTGACAGGTAAAAAGATACTCAGGAGATACATTTGTCATTATTTAAAGTAATTTAGATTTAAGTGTTTAGAATTGTACTTCAGCTTTGCCTATAATTCAGCTTCAAGGGGCTTTTTTTTTCTCTTAAAGTAACATCTCTACTGGAGAGAAATTTGTATTTTTTCTCTTGCTCCAACAGTTTTAAAGTGCTTCTCATGCAGTTTCGTCCTTTTCAGACAATATTTTTGCTGCTTTTCCTATCATATTTATATAATCTTATGTATAATTCATAATGAATAGTTAGCGTGACATTTTAGCTTATTTTGATTTGCAGCACCTAGCAAATAAGAAAGTTCAAAGGAAAGCAACATAACAAGCATAATATCTCGGTGCCTGTTACATTTCAGAGGCAAAGCAGGTTGTAAATAGCTCATCCTATGCATTCCACACAGCTTTAAGTACCTAGTTAAGTACATAGTTTTATAAGAACTGTATTAAAATCTCCCATCTTTATTTTTGTTTATGTTATGTGTGCTCCTAAACAACGAAAAAGCATGCCTGTATTTTTGACTGAAATGAAAATAAGCAGTTGTCATACATGATTTGCAAACTTCTAAAGGTTACATGCCACATCATACTTTTCTTTCCTAAATAAAACATTAAAGCTAGTGGAAATCACACTTCATGAATGAGGACTCTACCCTTCAAAAATGCAGGATACTTTTAATCACTAGGATGTGCCTCTGTGAAAGGTTCCTGCGCTCGCAGTGAATTTGATGTTTAATACGAGGTAGCAAACTCTCTGCTTTTCTGAAGTTGTCGTAGTATAACTCCCAGGTTTTGCCTGCTCCTTGTTGTTCAGATCTTCTGTGTCATTAGCACCCATTCTGTATCATTAGCACCCGTTCTTCAGCTTGCTGCTGCTGCTTAAAAACATTAAAACCGAAGTACCCTGCCAGTATCACCCTTTAAGTTTTGCTGAAGGTCAAAATTGTTAATATTAGTGATTGAGGTAATGGTTGTTTACAGTGTCTTCTCTTTTTTTGAGTATTTGTATTCACTTAGTGTAGTTATGTAATCTGAAGTACTGGTTTTCGTATTTTTTAAGTACATTGTTTTTTTTCCCTATAGATGATTCCCCCAAGAGGTTGTGCTTATGTTTGTATGGTTCATAGACAAGATGCCTATCGTGCTCTTCAGAAACTTAGTTCTGGGTCCTATAAAATTGGTTCTAAAATTATTAAGGTAAGCTGATTTTCATATAAGAACGCTGTTGGTTTCAAATACAGGACACTTTTAACATGATTTATCATTTAGCAGCTACTTGTTCATATATACAATATGGAGAAAAAGAATGAAGCGATAAGGTGTAAATTGTTTTATTTCCTCTCTGTGTGTAATGCAAATTTTAACAGGCAATGTGATAAACAGTAAAATGAAATTATGAGTTGATACTTAGGAATAAATGGAGAACGTTTTATGTATGTGCTAATGATAAGATGACAAGACTCTAAACCATCTAAGTCCTGCACTTGACCATGTGGATCCCTTCAGTATTACATTTGATAATATTCATAGCGAGTTAGATGGATGATTGAATGCTGTGGGTTTTTTTCTACTTTTCTTTGATGCTTCAGGATGAGCCCTTTAAATACCATATTTTTAGTTTCCCTATATCTATAAGTTAGAATTAACATAGCACAAATTCAAGCTTTTTGATGTATTTAGTCTTCCACATACCTGTTGCAGAGACCAAGTAAATCTCCTGCAGATTCATTTAAAATTAAAAACTTGTTAAGACTTTAATAAATAAACACTGAAGATTTTCGTGAAATATTCTATTCACAGATTGTATGACTTAACCAGATTATCCGGTTGGGTTTTATTTTCAGATTGCCTGGGCTTTGAATAAAGGTGTAAAAACAGAATACAAGCAATTCTGGGATGTGGATCTGGGAGTTTCGTATATTCCTTGGGAGAAAGTAAAATTGGATGATTTGGAGGGCTTTGCTGAAGGTGGCATGATTGACCAGGAAACAGTAAATACAGGTACAGACATTAACTATGATTCTGATTGTTAGAAAATGTGTTTTATTTTGGTAATTGTGAATCCTCAAAGTTCATTTTTTCTAGGTAATACCTGTCCCTTTTCAATTTAGATAGATTTTGATAGCTACTTGTTTACACATAACCATCGGCAAATCAGGGCTTAAGTCAGTCCAGCAGTTCAACTACCTAGGAAGTATCATTTCCTCGGATGGTAAGATTGACAAAGAGATAGACAAGAGGTTAGCAGAGGCAAACTGAGCTTTTGGAAAACTCTATAAAAGAGTCTG